CCTAATTATCTGACTAACATTCTCTGATGTTAAGTGCCTTAAATGGTTGTTTTTCCTTTATTTTTTTTCTACTTCTTTGTGTTCACTGTTTATTCCAGTTGTAAAATGTAATTAGAAATTAAAAAGAACAAAGCAAACCTCAAAGCCTGCTGATGTAGATTAAAATGAATCATCTCTTGAAAGTGTGTGTAATCCAATCTCTGCAACCTGATACATCTCCTTGTCATTTGGTAAATATTTAAAATATCCAGTGACATTTTTTCACATTTTGGACAAAGACCACATCACCTGTATTCACTATTGTTTCTGAGTACCGATGTTTTGAAGCTATGGTTTATTTAGTTACTTCTTTTTTTTTTTTTTAATTTTTAGTGTTTGTCATTCTATACGAAACCAAATATTAAAGGAAGAAAGAGAAGCCTACCAATTTATTTGCTTTTTAGTAATCCAAATGATATGAAAAAGAAAACCTATGCAACTTTAAATGCTGCCAAAGGCTGTAGTGTTTGAGAGCAGAACAGTTGAATTAGAAGGTTTGGATAACGGACAGAGCTGTTGCAAATTGCTTTACACCGCGTATCTTAACATAGCTAATCTCTCACGTTTGCAATTTCTGTCACAGGTTCTTGAGCAGCATCCAGCTAGATTGTACTTCTCCAAAGAGTGTTGTAAATGCTGACACTTTGTATAGATTTTGATAGAGGAAAGAGGAAAATCTTTATTGCTTTTGCTCTGAGTCCTATGGTACATCCCCATTAACAGTCATTAGTTCCTGCCCTTGAGCAGTAAGGTAACTGATTTCTTTCTCTTCTGAAAGTAACTGACTTCTTTCTTTTCTGGTAATGGCTCTTTTTCTTTGCTAGGTCTTTTTGGCTTGGACTTCTGTTAAGTACTCTTTACACCTCCTGTAGCGCTGGCTTTCCCGTGGATAAAAACAAATTCTGAGAAAAAGACACATTCTTCCTCCAAATTCTATTAAGCTGCCCCGTGGCTCATCTCATCATTTTGCTGTCGTTGGAGGCTGCTGGATGGCAGCTGTGGTGGCGCTGTGTGCTGAGAGAGGCTCATGGCCTACTCCCAACTCCAGCAACGCCAGCAGTACCAGCATGGCCTCCTCTGCTGGGAGCAGGGAGCCGGGGCTGCACTGCGGCACTCACAAGTCTTACCTTTACCACATCTTTGCCAATAATGTGGTCTGATACTCGTTTTGAGAAATAAGTATTATTATTTTGAGAAATGTTTCCTGTTGGGTTTACTTCACACCTTTGAGTTATCCTTCCGTGCAATTCTCCACTGGCTTGAAACGTCCTACCAAAATGGGACCGTGATTCTAATCATGGAATGATATTTGACTTATTTTCTAGTAAAATGGATTATGATTTTTTTTTGTTCATAATAAAACCTGTCAGCGTACACACACATGCATATTTTTTAAATAGTACAGGAGCTCCTTAAGTACCATAGACTGTGCTTTGGCTTATGTGTTAGAGTAGACTAGGATGACAGTGATTTTTTTAGGGAACAAATCGTTTGACTTTCAAAATATGTCAAATTTAGTTGCTTGTGTTTGAAACAAGAACTGTCTTTGCAGTTAAAGGACTTGAAAAGCCTGGAATCAGTTCCCTGCTATTCTCCAGCACTTCTTGCATCTCCTTGGGGAAGCAGTTTAGGCTTTCAGTGTTCAAATCATCATCTCTAAAATGGAGATAATAAGACTTTCCTGGTGCCTAAGAGTGTTGAGATGACAGATCAACTGATGGATTGCTTATGGGTTCCAAAAGCACTTACGATCCCCTCTGCAACTGTAAACATCAGCCTTTCCCAAAATGCATCTACCCACTGGACGTCTTCAACCTGGATGTATTCAGTAGGTTATATTCTTACACTGTTCTTCTGTGAAAATAATTTGCTGGGATGAGCTTCCCCTACCTTTAGTTCTGTTGTGGTGGGAGGCATTCTACACAAGGCTGAAGTTGCTTTGGGGTCACTCAGAACCATTTCACACTGTCTCCTAATTTAGGGTAAGGAACTGAAGGGGAGTGTAGTTGTGCAGACTCTGGATAGTCAGGCTGGTGTTACCAGTGATCATTTCAAATCCATCATCTTGTGGACCATGTTTGCTGCGCTGTAGTGCTGGGTCAATATCAACTGTGAAGAGGATCTGCAGCATTTTCTGTGATGTCCTGAGGATGTTTCTATGTTTTCCCCTCCTTCAGATTCTGACCCAGAACTACCCTGCTCAGTGCTGTGTTACTTGGGGATATTTCCTTCCTTACCTTTCTTGTACCAGAATCTCTACATCAGCTGGATTAAACTTGTGAAGTCAATAAATGTAAAATATAGCATCTTCCTCAAGTGTACAGAAGCCTGGAGTTACTGTAGCTCAAAAAGCACTAACTTAGTGTGCATAAGTAATTTACTGGTGCTCTTTTGGGTCTTCTCCTTGCCTGGTGGGATCATAGAATCACAGAATATCCCGAGTTGGAAAGGACTCATAAGGAGCATCAAGTTGGACAACTCCCGGCTCCACACAGTACCACCAAAATCAAACCCAATGTCTGAGAGCACTGTCCAAACGCCCCCTGAACTCCGGCAGCTCGGGGCCGTGCCCACAGCCCTGGGCAGGCTGTTCCATGCCCACCGCCCTGTGCTGCAGACCCTTTCCCTCACCCCCAGCTGCTCTCCCCTGTCACAGCTCCATGCCGTTCCCTCGGGCCCTGTCGCTGTCACACAGAGCAGAGCTCAGCGCTGCCCTCTGCTCGCTGTGAGGGACATCTTATTAAGAATCATAAAGAATTTGTGACAAACAGTGCGGCACGTGGTGGGGCTACCAGTAGTCACTAACTATCAGGATTTTGTCCTGTTCTTGTTTTTTGTTGGTTTTTTTTTTTTTTCTCCCTCAGCTAGAAGCAATAACCTTAACATTATTTAATTGGAAGCTTTGTGAGTTAATTAATTTAACTCTTCACTGCCTTTAGTAGCATGGTTTTATGAGTATTTTTAATTGATCTTACTCGTATGGAAATGCAATCTTGCTTTAATTTAAGAAGATGGATACAAGTCACTGGTCAACCCAGCTGCTCACTCAAGGGTGTTGCTCAGTGCTATTTATTAGGTTTGGTTTGAGGATTATGACCACCCTAGAAACAAAAAAATGCAAAACAACTGCTGGTAGAGAAATGCTGAATTTGTAAGCAGTTTCATTGCTGGGTGTTATTAGGTTGAATTTGTCCTGCCCCCAGCACAGAAAAAAAAAAAGAAAAGGAAAGCCTTTTCTTTTCCTCTCCCAAACAAGTAGAAATCTGGAAAGGGACATTTTGACCTGAGAATTTCAGACAGGTTGGATTTAAGCAAACAAGCCATTCGTTCCTAGATTAATGGCTTGCAGGCAGACTCTATCAGTTGTGGACTGTATTGTATTAATTTGCAGTGGCAAGAGTTAATGCTAGTAATTGCGTTTCCTCTATAGAGAGAGCCTGTAGTAGATTGTTTTTACGTGGCAATCTGTGATTGATAGATCAGGGAAAACACGACCAAAGAAGGTTACTGCCTCCCAACCACTTTCCCCTTCAGATTAAAATAATTTGCAATTTGTAGGGTGGCTGCAGCACGTGCTGTGGGAATGAAGCAGTAAACACACTAGGCTGCATTCCCTTCCAGCAGCAAACCTCTTACTGCATTTCTTTCACCAAACCAAACCAGTCGTGTTGTTGGGAGCCCATTTAAAACAAGTGTGCTGGCAAAACAGCCCCCAGACCCCTTCAGCAAACTTCCTGTAGGGCCAGGCGGCGGGCCTGATGAAAGAGCGCGTTTGTGAACCTTTGGATTCCTTCCATTGATTTGTAAATCCACTTTAATAAAGTACTGGCGAAGCTAGTGAAATGAGCAACTGATGTTCTGCTTCTATCAAGTTTCTAACAAATATCTGATGCAGCTTGTGGCACTGGCGCTGGCACGTACTTGTTTTATTTCCCCCCTCCCTACCTTGGATCGTTTTGAGAGCTGGGGAGTAGGGAAGTAGGAAAAAAAAACACCCAAATCCCGCTGCTTCCATCAGCCACCAATTACACGGCAGCTTTCTTTCTCGGTGCTGCTAAAACTCAGCTTATTTAATATCGATCATACCAAGGAGCCTGCGAAGTATGGTGTTAATTGGGTCCACTGGAATCCCTGCCCATGGGACCAAGAGCTTCCTAGGCAGGAGGCGGAGGGAGGCGTGGGGAGGAGGGGACCCGCTGCGCGCCGCATGAGATGTAAGTGCACAGACACAGGGCTTCTGCTGCCTGCGCTGCAAAGCAGTCGCGGCATTTCCCACCCACCCCCCTTTCAGAAATTAGGCAACTCATTTCATTTCTATTCTTTCTTCCCCCCGTCGGGCAGTTCATCTGGAATTAACAGCTCTTTCACATTATTTTTCTTCCTTTTTCTTTTTTTTTTTTTTTTCCCCTTTGCAGAGCTTTTTTTAAAAATTTTATTTTATTGTTTTTCTTCTCCTTTCTGCAAAGCTGCAAAAGCTCTGCTTTGAAAACTGCTGCCCCAGAGTGCAGTTGCTTAGCTGTCCTGTCAGCATTGTTCTAATGCTCATTCCATATGTATGTCACATAGGAGCAGTACCCTCCTCCTCCTCCTCCTCCTCCTCCTCCTCTCTCCCTTCCCCCAATCCATGCATTTGAATTGTTTTTTCTTCCTAAAGACTGATTTTTTTTTCCCAAGGAGCTTGCAAACAGGGAAATTCAAACTGCACGATCCTGTGCCGTGGTTAGTTCTGCAGCCAGGACCAGATTTCTCTTACAAAAAGTGTTTGCTCTGTTCCTTCTTTCCCTTGCTCTCTCTTTTTCTTCTCTGTAAGCACAAAGGCTTTTAAACCCTAAGATCTGTAGTTCTTTTTGCTTTTTCTTGTTACCGTGACAGCATGTATCTCTGTTGCTGAAGAATGAAGCAGGCAGGCTGGAGTTTTTTATGTTCAGTGCTTTTGGGACCACTAAGGAGCAGTCCGCAGAGAAATATGTACAGCAACTGTGCCAACTGAGTTTCTCGTGCCTGTTATCTGTCACTTATTCTGACTAAAAGGTAAGGGATTCTTTAATATTTTGTTTTTTCTTGCTAAGTCTTTGTGCATTGTTTGTGCAGTGTCATTTGACATGTGCAACTAATTGGCTGGTGAGGGAGGCGGGCTAGGAGGATTTCTGCGTTAAGGTATTACATACGGTTTATCCAAAGAGCTGTAGAGCTCCTGACATCCAGAGGAAAAAAAAATCTTTTTTGAGGGGGATTTTTTTTTTTCCTTTTTCACCTGAAATGCTTCTTTCCGCCTGACTGTCCCTAATAGAGCCATAAGACTGGGACATTATCACTGCTGCTCATCTTCACTGCTCCTTTCCCCACCTAGAAGCACACAAGGCACTGGCATGCGTGCGCATGTGTGGGGCAAGGCATGTCCCCTCATACATGGGAATGCCTGGCAGCGTGCACATTCTTCTCCTTTGGTGTAACTAAACGTCTTCAAGCACTCTTTGCAAGGTAAGAATGCCTTAGTTCAGCATGCTGCAGCTTATGCCTGTTTAAAATTATTACTTGGATTACAGTGCACACTGTGGAAAGTTATTAGTTTCCACAGAGACCCAGTTTAATTGGGGGTATGTGTGCTGTGGTTCTGTTCTGTGCTTTCACACAGCCTGAAATAGTATTTTTTTTCTTACTTCTTGCGAGGAGTGAAGTTTACACTTTCTGCTCAGCGTAACAAATGAAGTTAGAGCAGAAATGGAGTTAAGCTGCAGAGGAGCATAGCCTTACAAGGCTCTTCAACTCAGCCCTGAGAGTCAGGAGAGAGTTGACTGAAATATTTTTTTGGGGCTGCACTGTAATATGCAGAAATGTTGGTGGGAGGGCATCTTCACCCAGCAGAAGTAGCAGCAAATGGTGCCTAGACTGCATCTTTATATCTTCTATGTGTTAGAAACCTTCATCCCTAACGTTGGTGTGCACTGCGTTTCTGCATGTGTGTATGCTGCAGCCTCTTGGTTCAAGAGGGCTTTGTTTTATGAAATGTGTTTTAGGCTGGCAGGCAGGGGAAGTGCACTCCGTAACTGTCCCCTCAGCTGTAACACCGTGCATTACTGGCCATTTTGGGAGAGGCTTATTTGGAAGACTTTGGTTTCTTTCTTAGGCGTTTGCCTTCTGTCTGACCTGCTGGCTGCTGGTTCTGTGCCGAGGAAATGCATTTTAAGGGTGTTTGTTCCTCGTACTTTAAAATGAACAGTGGTGGAGACGGCTGAGCAGCCTCGTTTGCTAACACTGCCTTACCTTGAGTGCTGTATTGCTTATCAACTCACCAGGAATGCCACCAGACGTGTAACCAGTTTGACTGAAAAACAGTCTAAAAATCCAAAGTATGAAGGAGGAGAGAGAAGTCCTGTCTGAAGGCATCAATTTCTGTCTTTACTGTATGTGTTTATAATGTCATTTCCAAGTCAGCTATTTCCTAACACATACTCTGAAACTGTGTTTTCCCATGATTGTTGCTTTATATCAGCACTGAGAAAACACTCATTTAGATAACAGGTTTTCATTGACATCCTTTTTATAATATGGAAAGGAAGAAGCAGTAATAAGTTAAATTGGCATCTGCTAATTATGCTGAATACAGATTGCGAGCTCCGCGAGTCGTCCCTTTGCCTTAATGCTGTTAGCATATTTTAGCACTGGCAACCAAAGGAAGGAAACTTGAGTGCTTGTGAAGAAACGTGAAGTTTTTTAAGTTTTTTTATGTTTGTGTGCTGTTGTCGGAATGGGAGAGAGCGTCACATGCAGTGCAGCGCGTGGTGAAATTGATTACAGGCCATTGAGACGTTGGCTCGCCAGGTGATCACTAGATTGATTTTGACCCTCAACCAGAGCTACCAGATACATAACTTTGCCTTTGGTCAGGAAAAGTTGGAGCGTATCTTTGCCACAAAATACTCGAATCTTTCAGGTCTCTGAGAAGCCAGTAATTTCGTTCCGAACTCCCCGCGCTGACTGCAGGTTCTGCTCACCTCGCGGCCCGGCTGGCAGCTCCCGGGGCGGCAGGAGGGCCGTGCTGCTGCCGGCTGATGTCAGCGTGCCGGGATTTGGCTGCCTCTGCCCGGGGACCGCTCCGACGGCAGCGGATGGCTCTGCCGCTAGAGGGGAGGCGAGAGCTGCGTTGTGGTAATGCGGAGCGTGTCAGCGTCGGGAGGGTGATGCCTACAGAGAGCTTTGCGGCGCCGAACGGCCGAGCTAACTTGGATGCTCCAGATTCTGGGAGCACCAGCGATGGCAGTGAGAGGCGTATGGGCTGGTGCAGCCCTTCTTCGAGGATCTCCGTGCTTCTGGGGTAAATGACATCTGTTACAAAGTTAGATATTGCAGAAATGTGTTTACTCTTTGTGATGAAAGTCCCTTGGTTTTCTGAGTGCTGCTGCATGCAACCTCCTCCTGCCTGGGCTGGGTGGGAGTGCAGATTCACCTTTGTGTTTGGTGGTGGAACTTCTTGCTATGAATGTGGCAAAAAGCAGGAGGCTGGGAGTTGTTTCTTTGCTTCTTGCACCTCTAGATGGCTATGGTATGTTCCTGGTTGCTCTAATTGGGGTTGACTGGCAGTGAGTGGTCCATAGGCATTGGCTTGAAATCTCAGAAATGTCTCTCTTTTCCTTGTTAGCTGTTGAACTTTCTGTATGCTCATACTTCAGAACTTCTACCAGGTCATGATTTGCTGTAAGTTTCATCCCTTTCAGTCTTTAACTTAAAGCATTGCCACCGGATTGTATGTCAGAGAAGGTAGTTTCAGGGAAGAAGAAATTTTTTACTTATTACAGTTGTACAGTGGAATGAGCAACAGTACAAGAAAGACATCGAGGCCCTGGAGCGTGTCCAGAGAAGGGCAACAAAGAAGTGAAGGGTCTGGAGCACAAATCTTAGGGAGAGTGGCTGAGGGAGCTGGGATTGTTCAGTTTGGAGAAGAGAAGGCTCAGGAGAGACCTTATTGCCTCTCTACAATCGCCTGACAGGAGGTTGTGGTGAGATAGGACGATAGGCATCTTCTCCCATGTAACAGTGATAAGGCAAGAGGGACTGGCTTCAAGTTGTGCCAGGGGAGGTTTGAGTTGGATATTAGGAAAATTTCTTCTCAGAAAGAGTGGTGAGGCATTGGCACAGGCTGCCCAGAGAGGTGGAGGAGACACTATCATAGGATCATTGAGGTTGGAAGACCATCTAGTTTTCAACTGTCCCTGGAGGTGTTCAGAAACTGTGGAGATGTGGCACTGAGGTGAGTGAGCATGGTGGGGGAGGGCTGACAGTTGAACTTGGTGATCTTAGTGGTCTTTTCCAACACTTAATGATTCTATGATTCTATGACTTTATGATGGGCACAGCAGGATGTATCCTGCACTCAGAACTGCTGGGCTGAGTAGGGTGGGAGAACTCCGCATCACTGGGTCCTCCAGGTCAAGGTGAGCTTTCCTGGGGTTGGGAAGCACATGCCTTGAATACTGCTGTGCTGTGCTACGGCAGAGCTCTCACTGCAGTTTTCTTGTAAGCCTAATTTTGCTAAAAGTGATGTCAAGAGTCTTTTTAAGAAAGATGTTAGGATTTTAGCTTCAGTTTTGGGTTTCTTTACTCTCTTCTGTGTATGTGTGAAATACAAAGCATATTTAATGAACAAATACCTCAGATGTTTCCAAATTAATTAAAAACAGCTCCACATCTGGAAAAAATCCAGTACCTTTCATGGATGGCTTCAACTTCATCTTTTCTTCCTCCTGTGAGAAGCCCTGAGAATATCCCCGTGTGGATGCTTGTGAGAGCCGGAGTGGTAGAATCCAAGGTTATTTACAAAGGAGAGAGATCTGAGGCCCACTGAGACCAAAGGGATCTCAGCCTGTATTCCAGCAGTCTCTGGATAAGACCCAATAACATGTGAAATTATATAATATACCTATGCCTGGACAGATGTTTTCAGGGTATCCTGACTTGAGGGCAGCTATGCAAATCTTACTTAGAATGCATCATTTCTCGTGGGTTCAACCGCTGTTAATTCGTGCAGATTTCAGTGGGACTTGAAGGCACCACAACAGAAATAGCATTTTTGTAATGAACTTTTTTCTTCTTCTCCCTTCTTTTTCTCCAGAAAGAAAGAAAACGATCAGATTTTTCTCTATGGGAATGTTGTGATTTAAACTGACACAACTAAGTGACCTAAAGATAGGCTTATTGCATACATAAAAAATGCAAGGCTGGGTTGTTTGAACTGCATTAGCATCAGAATGAGAAACTGCGGGGTGAGCTGGCCGAAGTGGCCATGCAGAACTGGAGAGGGTTATTCTTTGGAAAGCCTCTGAGCTGGGAATTCTTTTCTGAGCCATAGATAAATAAATCTGTGTCCTGAGCAATTAATGAATACTGAAGCCTGGGTAAGTTGAAGCTGTTTGGGATATTTTAAAAAACCCATACGGTGCTTTCATTAGTGTTGTAGATTTCTATTTTATTCCAGGTGTGCATGTTGGTTTTTTTTTTTTAACCTTCTTTATTTTTGCTTAAAGATGCTGATGAGAATGGTTGTTTTTTTTTTTTTTTTTTCTGCCAGTGCTGTACTGTAAAACCTTTGTTAACTCCCAGATCAGTTTCAGCATGTGTTGAGGGAAAATGCTGCCCCTGAAACTTTTGATCTTCCAAATACAGATGGGGATTGCAGACAGTTTTGTGCTTACAGTGCCTCGTCTTTGGAGTTGTGCTCTAGCTGCTCCTACTCATTACTCCAGGGGTACCAAGAAAATAGTTTTGCAGACATTGTACTGTGAGTGTAAAGAGAGCTTTTCCAGGGGATCTTGGTGTGTTTTACGGACCAAAACTAATTAAACCTTACAGCATTCACTGCAGGCAGATAAGCGTGAATGACAAGTAAACAAGCTAAGATGCACTGTGGTGAAGAGCTCAACTTTCTCATGATAGAGACTAGTGATATTCCCATTGAGTGAAGAAGAGCTATAGCTGCCTTGTACCACTGGAAGTGAGGTCGCTTTGGAGACAAGCTTAATGGAATCAGTTACATT